TTCAACAAAATACCATAAAATTACTCACATACCTAAATTAATTTATGGTGAAATAAAATAGACAGTAAAATAACATAATGCATAGGGGTGTCGTTTAGAATTCTTGAAACATGTTGAATCAACGATTAATAATTTTTCATGCTCAGCACACAAAGGTGTATTGTATTAAATTCAAGGTTTTGGGGTGTGCCACAGTTTGTATGTAATCTGCTTCTGAAAACTTAAAATTTCAGATACTGTTATTTTCTTCCCGTTCTTCAAGTCAGATGAACGTAGAAAGCTGGTACGTTGAATGGAAGTTTACCGGTTGTTGTTAAATATCCCCAGGCCTAACTGGATGCTTATAACGAAACGAGATGCGACGAATATATGGCCTTGTCGCCTTCCGGTTGCGCGTATTTCCATATTAGAGCAATCAACCAGTTGTTGTTTAACTAATGATCAAATTTTACTAAACACACTATCAAATTAATTCTGTTTGAGGGACTCGGAGAAGAAAAAAGAACTGATTTTGTCTGGATGTGAGTTTAGGGAATTAGATATATTACCAATAAAAGACATGTGTACTTAAGTAAGGATTATGTGTAATATTAGCCAAGTAAGTTCCAACTTAAACCGAAAGTAAACAACACTTTGTCTTATAAACTGATTGAGGCAATAAAATCTGTTTAAGTTACTAAAATTCAAAGAAGAGTTGTTTAAATTATCAAGGAATTTAACCTGGAATTCCAAACTTTTTCTGTTATTTCACGGACTTAAGGGAACGTTAATTATTATACCAAAAAAAGAAGTATAGAAAATTAGAAATCTTCAGTAAAACATGTCCAGTTAACAGATACTTAAAAGATAAAACATGTCCAGTTAACTATACTTAAAACGTAAAATATGTCCAGTTAACAGCTACTTAAAAGGTAAAACATGTCCAGTTAACTATACTTAAAAGGTAAAACATGTCCAGTTAACATATGCTTAAAAGGTAAAACATGTCCAGTTAACAGCTACTTAAAAGGTAAAACATGTCCAGTTAACTATACTTAAAAGGTAAAACATGTCCAGTTAACATATGCTTAAAAAGTAAAACAT